GGCAAGAGAATCGCCTCAGCCCAGGAGTTGGAGGTTACTGTGAGCTGTTGATGCCACCGCACTCTACCAAGGGCAACATAGTAAGAATCTGTCTCTTAAAAAAAAAAAACAAAAAACCACAAAGCTGAGAGGATGTCCCATCCTTCAAAGCAAAGCTCCAAAGGAAGTCTTCTAGTAAGTTCCCGATTATGAATAGTAAGAAACTGCTTAGGGCTGGAGTTATTAATAAGATTTGAGATGTTAACAAGATAATATTCTTTAACATAGGGCTGAAGAAAACCCTGTAGTTTACTAAGCTTAAGGAAGCTACTTTATATCCCGGAGAACAATGCCCTTTCTAAAAGGAATGAATTCCCTAGGTTCTAGGAGCTAATCATTAAATGCTTTTCTAAATAGATTGTTACTCTCCCCAATCTTTCACACGTGATCTATTGGGCTGGTCTATCTAACTATAGTGGCTTGCCATTACTCAGTAATTAAATACTCCTTTGAAGAAACCATAAGTGAAGTTTGTCTTTAGTGTGTAGATACACCAGTCTTGAAAAGCCATTGGTAATTTACTCCCTTGGAATTTAAATTCCAACCTTTTAAATTTTCAAAAGCACTGGAAAACTTTCACATTTAGAGGACTCTATTTATACTAATTTATATTGGAACAGTTTTCTGATAATTCTCTAATCTCATTACTATTATTCTTACTTTTATTAGTTTCCTATTGCTAAGGAATAGGAATTTATTGGTATTAATTTATTGGTATTGTCTAATACCAATAAATTGCTTTGATTTGTTGGTACCTATACAAATAAATAAAGGATTAATTTATTGATATTAATTTATTAGTATAAATTATCACAAATGTATAGTGACTTAAAATAACAAAATTATTCCTACAGTTCCAGAGCTCAAAGTCCCAAAATCAAACAGAGGCAGGGGTACACTCCTTCTGGAGGCTCTATAGGAGAAAGTTTCCTTACCTCTCCTTAGTTTTTAAGAGGCCACCTGCATTCCTTGGCTCATGGGCTCAACCTCCATCTTGAAGCCAGTATATTATATATTAACATCTTTCAATGTCTCTGATCTTTCTGTTTCCTTTTTATAAGGACCCTCATGCTTATTTGTGGTCCACTAGGATAATCCAGATAATATTCCTTTCTCAGAATTCTTAATCAGAATATAAGGTCTTTCTTGCCATATAAGTTAATGTAAACAGGTTCTTGGAATTAGAATACCTTTAGGAGTGATTATTCAGCCTACCACATTATTTCCTATTCCTGGTGCTGCTGCTACCATTGCTACCATAGGCTAAAATTTGATTTTATACCATGAGCCAGGCACCATTCTAACTGCTTTACACTCTTTATCTCAATTAGTCCACAAGCCATATACTAAAATTGTGTAAAGAGGCGGGCCTGTGACCAAGACATTGCCTTCTGATAAGTAAAATAGTAATCGCAAATTTGAGTAATAATTCGTGGTACCACTGCATTCCCACTTCTGTGGAGCCCTGACTTGCATATGCCTACAAGTCCTGCAAACGTTATTAACTTTAGAAAAATGTAGTCATAAATCTATAGTCACATGTGCAGAAATTAGCATTTATAAGAAATCCAGCTACATTTACAAGTCATTGGAACTAAAGCTTAGAATGAACACTGGGTCTGATTACATTAGATCAATTAGCTGAGCCCAGTGCTAATTAGATTTATGGTTGCTACCTCTAAATTAAACCTTTAATTATAGACAGCTTAGAAACTATGACTTAAATCCTTGACCAAGATAATATAAAATGTGTAACTTTCAAGTGAGACCTTTGTCAGGAAAGTATGGGCTGATGGCCCAAATCTGTCACTGGTGTTCACAAACAATTTATAAATTGATGGCTGCATCAATTTCTTACAGTATCTTGTAGTTGAGAAGCATCTGATTAGTGTATACTTGTCACTCAATTGGTCCAAAGCAGTCCTTAATCAGCTGTACAGTGTAGCTCTGATGCATCTAACACAAGGCCCAACAAATGACAATTTGGCACCTAAGACTTGATGAGCATTACAAAGGTTAGAGGTTCTTGAACACAGGCCTAAGCCTAGTGTTCAAGAGCCTGTTGGCTATCTGACTTGATTAAAGCTATTTTAAGGTTCGGCACCTGTGGCTCATGTGGCTAAGATGCCAGCCACATACACCTAAGGTGGCAGGTTCGAATCCAGCCCAGGCCCGCCAAACAACAATAATGGCTGCAACCAAAAAATAGCCAGGTGTTGTGGTGGGCGCCTGTGGTCCCAGCTACTTGGGAGGCGGAGGCAGGAGACTCGCTTGAGCCCAGGAGTTGGAGGTTGCTGTGAGCAGTGAAGCCATGGCACTCTACCCAGGGGCTCAGCTTGAGGCTCTGTCTCAAAAAAAAAAAAGCTATTTTAAGATTGGATATAATAATTAAGGAGATACACCTAGTTAGAAAAGGAAATTATTTAAACTTCAATATAGAGATAGTCTAGCCCAGTGGTTCCCTGACTACTACAAACCCCAGAAGCACATGTAAATCATAAGGAATCCATTATTTTGTTTGAGCACCAAACACATCTCTGTAGATTAAGTATATCCTACATATCGAATATAGATATGATAGTGATGAGTAATGCAAATTTACTTACAATCATTGAATTTTGGTCATTCTGCATTTTGTGAATGAGTAGGTACTTAACACAATTAAGTACTATCACGAAAGTCCATGATATTCTGACATACTTAAAATAATTGGGAACTACTCCCTGTAGCTTGAAGAATTTAGCAGGTGTCCACAAAACACTTCTGATGAACAATTCCATTAATATAAAATTAAAGTTTCAAAAGAGCTACTAGCTGACAATTCAATACAAAAGTTAAGTCTTCCAAAAGATATGGGAAGCAGTGAGTTAAGCAATAAAAAAGACTAATTAATGCTAATGAAACCTTTCAATAGCATGTTTTGCTTTCTACAATGATAGCTTTTGAGTAAGGGGAGCAAGTTAATGTAAAAAGCACTGTTTAATTTCATTTCTTTAATTTATCTGTAATAAGAGTACTTAATAAAACACATGAGACTTTTAAAAACACAATACTATTTTTTTTCTTAAGGAAAATGTATATGGCTTTTAAGTAAATGTTGTAAGTTGTATAGCACTCTATAAAAATTTTTGTTATAGGGTTTCAAAGTTGGAATATTCCTATTTGTAGTCTTTAAAAAAGTATATTTCAAGGATGAGAAAACTAACCATCTGAAAGATTAAGAGATTTGTCCAAGATTATAGTTATAACAGAAAAAATTGTTATTTTCTTAAAAAAAAAAAAACAAAACTCCATAGTAACAGCAATACCGTACGTGGGTACATGGTAAGGATTAGATCCTAGAGTGCTGTGAAGAATTTCCTAAAATGCATTTCGATTGTTGGATTCTGATAAAGGAAAACTAGAAACATTTTGTAGTCATTTTACTTTCCTTAAATGGACAGAAAAAAAATCTCTGATTTAATATGACAGTATTGGATACTGAATACAAGCTTTTTAATTTAGAAATCTTCCAATCTTATATAATAAAATTTTTTCTTTAAAGTTTAATATTTCAGGCACTAGAGATTGTTCTAGTAAACAATTATTTAGTTGTAAAAATAAACAGGTCTGTAACAAAGGTACTGAGTATTTGATTCTTAATTCCATGGAATCTAGTATTTATATAAACTTTGCATATACAGAAAACTTCCTGTCTGTAGGATGATATTAAAATATTTCAAGGAGTCTGGAAATCTTAACCACAGTTTAAATGTTCCAGCTTTCTGAAATGGGGAAGAAAGTTACTAAATATTTCTTAGTATATTTTAAATCCATGGAACTATTACAAATTTTAGACTGACTCTATAGTTATTGGTTAGTTAAAATATACTATTACAGTGATTTAAAAATCATTACTAGGGGCAAAGAACTGTTAGACATGCTCATATATACCAGTGAGATGACATTTAGTTGGCTGAAATCTAAGGTGTTTGATTACTGGTAAGACTTCACAATTCCTATTTATATTTCCTTCACAATTGTGACAACTGGCTCAAATTTTTTCTCTGTGTCTGTGTATTTGCTGATCCAAGCTGACTATCTCTTACCAGAAGCATTGGGACCAGAAATTCAGATTTTGGATTTTTTCAGATTTTGGAATATTTGTATTATACTTAACAGCTGAGTATCCCTAATTCAAAAATCTGAAATGCTGTAATGAGCATGTCCTTTGAGCATCAAGTTGGTGCTGAAAAAGTCTCAGATTTTGGAACATTTTGGATTCTCAGATTAGGGATACTCAATCTGTATAATAATGCCCATTCCCTCCAAATACTTATCTGGAAAGTAAAAGATGTGTGACTTAAAGTTGACTGCTAGATAATGTACTTTCTGTGTATTTCCTGGGTACAAAAGTTTAAGCTGCATGTTCTAGTCAGATTTGTTCAATCTTACTCATCCAACCAACCAGCCTGCATTTATAGATAATCAACTATATGCTGAATTCTGTTATCTTAAATGGAACCAAAACAACAACAAAAGTTTTAAAGTATTATCATAACTTTTATTTTTGCTTAGTTTTATTAAAAAAATAAATATGTCATAAAGCTTTCTTTTTCTTTAGGGAGAAAAAAGGAACAAGTTTCATAAAATCAAATAAGCAATGGTATGGTATCTTAACTTGAAAAAGATTGGGAATCACTGGTTTATAAGTTGTAATTGAATGAAAGAACTGTAACAGCCACAGATGGCTGCTTCACGCCAATGGCAGCAAACAACAGGATCAACTAGGGCAAAATAAATAACTGTGTGGAAGCCCTGATAAGTGCTAAAATGGACTGATTCACTGAGACATCAGTATAGATATATCTTGCTTTAAACAACACAGACGTTCCTGAAAAGCTTTGTGTAAATGAAATAACCACAAACATACCAGGAGAGCTTGATATCTGAAGGAATTCCATGGTGAATTCTTTCCTGAACAACCACTTTCATTTTTGTAAATCCAGGTATTTGCTTTGTTTAAGGAAAAGTAATCTAGCTGCTTTCTCTCTGAACTGAGGCACAGCATAGTCACCTACTCCAGCTGGGCCAGTGGCACAACTTCCAAGTTTGTGTTTCTATTAAGTAAGTAGTGTAAGTAAGGTACATAGTCAGGGAACCCACCTGCATCAGGCAAAGCATGTACAGAGGTAGGGTCACCATCTACCAATAATTCCAGCAAACATTTGTGAGAATCTAGTTTGTGCAAAGCACAGTAATAAACTTTGTCACTCCAGCTGTAGATGTTCTTCCTTTCTCTAAAACCCTCAGTTATGGGATAGGTCTGGAACCCCCAAAAGAAAGTAATACTTCTAAATCCTCAAGTCTGGCTTTAACCAAATTAGCTGATAATGGAAAAGACTGTGTTACATTCTTTACATTTTTAAAAACTTCCTCTAAAAGAACCCTGAATTCTCAGGCAAACTCTAAGTCACTGAGATTCTCTACTTGGGTGATAAATTTCAATCCTGCTGATAAATTTCTTTCCACCCACCAGAATTTCATGAACTTATACTACACCAAAGCAGTGATGCTTTGGACAAGGAATAAGCACGGTAGTACCAGTTCCAGTCAGTTTTATCAATGTAAATAAACAGAATTCTCACTTTGTTCATAGCCTCCTTTCTGTCTGGCCAAACTTCTACCAGGCCCAAGCCACATTTAATCAGTTAGGCTGTTCAGTTTGGGTGTTCTTTTTTTAATGCTTCTAATAACATTGCTGCCTATATGTACAAGTGTGAATGATAAGAGTATGCAATCTGTAATCTTTTTCACACTGAGTACACTAACAATATAATTAGTAAATAAAGAATAAGTGGTCATTTTTAAACTTGCATTTTTCTTAAAAAAAAAAGTACACTTTTTAGCACTTTAAAAAATGGGTCTGAAAAGTGCCCTATCAATGTCCAATGCTGTTCCCCACCCAGGCCCACCCATTCAAAACCTGCTACAAATGCTGGATTGAGTTCATATCAAATAATTTAGCAGTACCAAGATTTTTCAAATGGAAACAGTGTTACTGACTTCTTCATATTGAATAACAAAATAAGGGTAACTCTGGTCATCATTAAAAATGACAAAAATCTGAGGCTCAAAGAAATTATCCACACAAGAGTCATACAGGTCACTGGTAACACTACCAGGATTGACTGGAGGGGGCCTTCTCATGCCATGACTGCCCATTGTGTATCTGCCAGTCAGCACTTTGGCCAGAAACATGAAATGGACTCCTTTGGAGGACTTCTTAGAAAAGTTATGAGAGTAGCTTGCCTTCTTTGCAAAATAACTGCCTTGTCCAAACATTGTGGCATGCTTTCCACAGACTCGAGGGTCAAAGTTGTGCTTGCAGATTCCATCTACTACATCCTGGGATGTTCCATGAAATAAATGTCTTTCATTTATTATTCTGTCACGGCCCAACATTTTCCTGTTCATATATTCTTTTTTCCTAATGCAAAGAGTAGAAAATATGGATCAATATAATAGGCATGATATAGTCATAAACTTTTCTTTATGGTTTCAATGGAAGGAAATATTAAAGTAACTACCAAGGGCAAAATGCCAAAGATCACATTAAAAGTTTAAATGTATCTTTTCCACTGCAGAAAAGCCTTTTCTTTATCATCAATTATTTGCTTGCTTTCTCTTTCATTTTAAATCTAGTTCTCATGTCTTTTCTTCCTCAGGATGCCTTCCTAGTCTAATTCCTCCAATCTGCAAGTATTCAGTGTATACTACGTTAGTTTGTTGACCTGAGAGGCAGCATAGTAAGTAGAGTGATTGAGAGCAAGGGCTCTGGTGCTAGACTGCCTGAGTTCAGTTTCTAGCACCGTATCTTGTAACTTTAGTTGCATGACCTATAGCAAACAAGTAACTTTTCTGCACCTGAGTTTTCTCTTTGTAAAATACTAGAATTATCCTATTCATAGGTCTATTATGAGTATTACATGTGAAGTAATATATGAAAAATATGAACCTATTGAATTCTATGCAAGTGCTTATAATTATATTCCCCAACTGGTATTAGCTACATTAAGAAAGCTCTAGAGCTTTTTACAACACTGACTCACCTTTTATATTTCTCCCAAAGAAACTGGTTTTGGACTCTCAATATTTGCAAAATTCTATATTTAAACTCTGGTACAGTCTTATGAAAAAGATTATAAATGATGCGATAACTTTTGTCATCTGCAGAAACAGGCACTTGGATGAAGTCCTGAGATGGATGCATATAAATCCAAGTTTCAGGGTAAAAGTTTGCTGAGGTGACCCCATCTGGGCAGATGATTTGTGATGATGAAGTTGTTTCAAGGGATGAAGGAGCCTGTGTGGGAATTCCACCAAGTGTCCTAAAACAGAGAAGGAGGAATATCAACACAAAACACTCAGAAATAAATACCTTTCATGTTATTATAGTGCTCTATAGAACAGTGTCTAGTATTATAATTTGTATAGCTTAAATGCTTGTTTAAAAAATGAAAAATGCTACTTAAGAAAAAAAGTCTTAGAGCAAACATAGTCTGTACATAGATAACCTATTATTAGCTTTCTCCTGGCCTCCTTCCTGGAGAAAGCTCTGGAATGTACTGCTGCAAGGCAAACAGGCAAGAGCAAATTCATAAATATCTCTACTTTTAAATCCTAGATTCCATTTTTTACATATATAGTTAAAGAAACTTTGTTCAAGGGAGAAATAATAATTTATAAGTTTTCTCTCCTATCTTTACTGACACCAAGCAGAAAAGATATCTTTAAAAGGCTATGTGCTATGGGAGGCAAAGTAGGGCAGCTGGCAAGAAGGGAGCTTATGGGGAGAAAAATAAAAAAGTTTATTTTAATTTCTGTATAAAAATAAAACATGAAGCAGGCATTAAAAGCTGACAAATATCTGACATTTGCTTCATTTTCCAAGATCACATTTCAGTAACAAAACCACTGATACTATTCAATTTTTACAGTTTTGGGTATGTTCAAAATGGAGCTAATTACTATAAACTCTAGAAGTCAGAATTCATGTCCTTGAGCCTTTAAATTCAGGTTTGTAATGAAGGATTAATTTAAATAGGCAGCTGCTTTGGTAGGTTACTTATTCCTGTCTGGTTAAATGTTTATATTTAAATTATATTTCTTGGCCATTTTCAAAATGGAGAAAAAGGGAAGAGGCAGAGAATAAGGAAATCCTGACCCTAAGACCCAGTTTTAGTGCCAAGGTACTATAACACTCATCGGCACATAGTAGTCACAAGGAAGTAATAATAATGTCTGCCAAAAGAGATCAGGAAACTGAAATTTTCGAAAGAGCTTTGTGACACAGCGGTTCTAACTGTGTGTGAACATGCATCTCATCTTCAAAGATCCTAGCTTACCATCACCTCCATCCTAATCATAGCCACCTAATACCAGACACCTATTATGGGCTAGGCATGTTACACACGGTATCACTAATTGTCACAAGAACCCTGTAAGATGGCTTGGTTATCCCCACTTTCCAATAAAGAAACTGAAGTTCAGACAGACTTAAGTGATTTTCCCTAGCACAGCTAGCAAAGATCAGAGATAACATTTAAATACATGCCCATCTAGGTAAGCTTCTAATCTCATACCCTTTGCATTTCTGTATATTTTACAATGTATGCTTTAAAAAAAAAAAAGGTTAGAAAGTGATAGATGGGATACCAGGATTCGAACCATGTTCACCAAGTCTCCCACCTCTCTCTCCTCCTCCAACAATAATACTATAGTCTTTTTACTCTCAGATAGCTTCCTAAGAAGCTAAAAAGCTATGGAAGAGCAATTGCTTTCTCTCACCCCACCTCCTTCAAGTGGCTGTGCCTTCAATATAATGGGCCTCAAAGGCCTTTTATGAGACTCAGAGTCCTGGATGGGTGCATCTAGGGCTTACTAAATTTCCCAGGTGCTTTTAAGTTCAGGGGCAGACTCAAAGTGGTACTGGTTTCTCTAACCTTTGTGACAGAAGGCACAATAGGTTCTTGTCCTCTGGAGCATTTTCTCAGAGTTCTTGACAGGTTCCTTTGGAACCTTAGCACTGGTGCATTTTTCTGGTCCAATGGTACATTTTTTTACTGGTACATTTTTCTAAAGACAGTCCCCACTGCTTTACTCAAATTCTCAAAAGTCTACTATTCCTTAAAAAGCCAGCGCTATTCTCAAGGAATGGTAGGAAAGTGGAGAATGTAAGTTCTTTACTTTTAGCTCTTCCCTTTATCTAAGTCCCAACCCTCCATTATTATCAGGGATTGAAGTTACAAACAAAGTCTCCTGGGTTGAGGAAGGAAACTAAGATTCTCCTCTCTCTACCCCAAACAGGTTCTGCCTCACCTATACTGCCTCACCCTATATGAAAACCTGGAACTGACAACAGATTAAGATTCTGCTCCTTTCATTCCTGATATGACTCCTGCCTAAGAACTAGCTTACATAAAATGAAAGCTTCTAACATATTTCCTTTTCAGCAGGGGATGGAGGTTTGTTATTTACTAACATGTGCTTGAAAATGAGCTTAGTAAGTAAATCTTATCCATTCTATACAGTTAGCATCCATTCCTACTCATAGATGTTGACCTTAACAAGCCAGCATCCTAACCGGACTAAAACATAAAAACGCATATACACTTCTGTGTGACGAACTTTATTCTAGTTGCCATGGCTTTTTTTATATACATATATATATATGTTTTAAGTACAGTTATAAATGTGCCTTTATTTTCTGAGAATGCTGAGTTTATACTCAGCTCATGGCTATTCCAATGACAAATGGCATGTTTCACAGTGCTGTACCAGCCTTCTTTAGAGAGGCAAAGTTGAAAGGTACAAAAGTAATTGTACTCAAGGATCTTGAAAAATGGATTATTCAACCTCAGCTCAAGTATTTGAAAATTAAAGAGTAAGCTCCTTTTTATCAGTTCCATTAAAAAGCAGGGAAAACCTTTTTAGAAACAGTTTGATGTTCAGGAAGTTCTGACTTCTATCCTAGCACTCCCAATTCTTGGACATCTGATTCCCTAAGAATTATGGGCTTCATGACACTTATGTTTTTCTTTGACCCTCTGCATTTAGTAACACTTAAAAACAAAACTTTCTCCCTGGCTAAGGTCATGTTTTAGGGAATCTACTTATGAAATGTGTTTTTTTTGGAGACAGAGTCTTACTATGTCACCCTCAGTAGAGTGGCATGACGTCACAGCTCACAGCAACCTCAAACTCTTGGGCTTAAGTGACTCTCTTGCCTTAGTCTCCCAGTAGCTGGAACTATAAGTGCCTGCTACAACGCCTGGCTTTTTTGTTATTGTTGTTGTTGTTGCAGCTGTCGTTGCTGTCTAGCTGGCCTAGGCTGGGTTCAAAAACCTGCCAGCCTCAGTGCATATGGCTGGTGCTGTAACCACTATGCTACAGGCGCCAAGCGGAAATCTGCTTTTTCAAACCAATTCCCTTCCTCTTTCTCCTTACTACGCCTGTCTGAGCATCCTTCAACCCCAGTCTCTAGGGTAAACGGGATCACTGCATTTATCCCTTCTGCCCTAGTGAACAGGATGTTTCTCTCCTCTTTCTAACTGAAGTATCTCCCTAATCTCTTTGATTTGTTGACTTCTTACTTTATATCTCATTATTAGTTCCAGATAAGACTAAAATAGAAAATTTTAAAAAGAGAAAGGGGTTGGGTGTGGTGGCTCATGCCTATAATTCCAGCACTTTGGGAAGCTGAGGGAGGAGGATCACTTGAGGCTAAGAGTTTTAAGATTAGCTTAGGTAACACACAGAAAGCTCCTGCATCTACAAAAATCCAGAAAAATTTAAAAGAAAAAAAGAAAAGAGTAAGTAGAGTATTTTTGTTTGCTTGTAAGCCTGTAAGCCTCTATCATAATAAGGTATACCTCTTAGATATTACAGGTTCAGTTCCAGACCACTGCAATAAAGCAAATATCACAAAAAGCCAAGTCACGCAAATTTTTTGGTTTTCCAGTGAACACGAAAGTTGTTTACACTATACTATACTTTAAGTTGCAATAGCATTATGTCTTAAAAAAAATCAATATTCATACTTTAATTAAAAATATTTTATTGCTAAAAAATGCTAACCATCATCTGAGCCTTCATCAAGTTGTAATCTTTTTGCTGGTGGAGGGTTGTGCCTGTGCGTGTTAATGGCTGCTGACTATCAGGGTGGTGGTTGCTGAAGGTTGGGATGGCTGTGGCAATTTCTTAAAATAAGGCAATAGGGAAGTTTGCCACATTGACTGACTTTCTTTCACAAAAGACTTCTCTGTAGCATGGGGTGCTATTGGATAACATTTTCCCCACAATAGGAATTCCTTCAAACTTGGAGTCAATCTCTCAAACCCTGCTGCTATGTTATCAGTTAAGTTTATGTAATATTCTAAACCCCTTGTCATTTCAACAATGTTCACAGCAACATCATCTTTAAGAGGAGCAGATTCCATCTCAAGAAACCACTTCCTTGGCTCATCCTTAAGAAGCAACTCCTCATCTGTTCAAGTTTTATCATGAGGTTATAGCACTTTGATCACATCTTCAGGCTCCATTTCTAATTCTAGTTTGCTATTTCCACCATATCTGCAGTTATTTCTTCCACTCAAGTCTTAAACCCCTCAAAGTCATCTAGGAGACTTGGAATCAGCTTTCTCTAAACTCCTGTTAATGTGGATTTTCTGACCTTCTCCCATGAATCACAATGCTCTCAAGGCATCTAGGATGATGAATCCTTCCCAGATTTTCAATTAATTTTGCCCAAATCCATCAGGGGACTATGTATAGCAGCTATAGCATTATGAAATATATTTATTAAATAAAAAGACTTGAAAATCAAAATGATTCCTTGATCCATGGATAGCAGAATGGATGTTGTGAAAGTGGGTATGAAAAAAAAAATCTCCTTGCATAGCTATACCAAGAGTTCCTTGGTGACCAGGTGCATTGTCAATAAGCAGTAATACTATGAAAGGAATTTTTCTGAGCATTAAGTTCTCAACAAGCTTAAAATATTCAGTATCTTGTGCTGTAAACAGATCTGCTGTCATCCAGGATTCCATTTATTCTATTTATTACAACATGGACAGAATAGATTTAGCATAATTTAAGGGTCCTAGAATTTGGGAATGGTAAATGAACACTGGCCTCAACTTAAAAGTCACCAGCTGCATTAGTCTCTAATGAGAGAGTAAGCCTGTCCTTTGAAGCCACTGACTTCTCTCTAGCTATAAAGGTCCTACACAGCATCTTCCAATAGAAGGCTGTTTCAACTACACTGAAAATCAGTTTTTTAGTGTAGCCCCTTTCATCAGTTATCTTGGATTTTTCTGGATAACTTGCTGCAGCTTGCATCTTCTGCTTCCCCTTGTACTTTGTTATGGACGTGATTTCTTAAATCTCACGAACCTATTTCTGCTAACTTCAAACTTTTCTTCTACAGCTTCCTTATCTCTCTCAGCTTTCAGAGAATTGAAGAGAGTTAGGGCCTTGTTCTGGGTTAGGCTGTGGCTTAAGGCAATACTGTGGCTGGCTTAATCTTCTGTCCAGGCCACTCAAACTTTATAGCTGCAATAGACTACTTTATTTTCTTATTATTTGTGTGTTCACTAGAGTGGTACTTTTAATTTCCCTCAAGAACTGTTCCTTTGCATTTACAACCTGGCTAAATGTTTGGTACAAGAGATCTATCTTGAGGCCCAGTTCTACTTTCAACATGTCCTCTTCACTAAGCCTTATCATTTTTAGCTTTTTTCATTAAAATGAGTGATGTGTGACTCTTCCTTTCATATGAACACTCTTGAGGTTATTGTAGGTTATTAATTGGCGTAATTTCAATTTCGTTGTGTCTTCGAGAACACAGAGGCCCAAGGAGGAGGAGAAAGGGAAATGGCCAGTTGGTGAACTAGTCAGAACACACACAGTATTTATTAACTTCCCCATCCTATATTAGCCTTGTGGCATTGCAAAACAATTATAGTAGCAACAAAATTCATTGATCACAGATCACTATAGCAGATATAACAATGAAAAAGTTTTGAGATATTTTGAGAATCACACAAGGTAAGCACATGCTGTAGAAAAAATAGTGCTCACAAACTTGCTCCCAGTAGAGTTGCCACAAACCCTCAAATTTGTAAAAAATGCAGTATCTGTCAATTGAATCAAAACAAGGTAGGCCTATATAGTATAAAGCTATATTGTGGCATTAAATCCAGTACTACTGATAACTTTTTAAAAAAAGAGTCCCACTTTTAAAAACAAACCTAAATTTTAAAAGAAAAACAAGAGGAGGGGGTACTTCATACTTGTCTTGGCTTGACACAAATTGATTTTCACCACTCATTTGCGCTTTCCCAACAATACAGCACTCAAATGAGCATTCTTACCCTCACACAGAAACTACATCTTGCTAGACTGGCTCAATATGCCAAGTTGCTGGTCTCACTAATGAGTTCTGTTTCACCAGGAGGATAATATACTCCTAACTAGTAGATGACGCTATCTCCAGCTGGGCTAGTAAAAATCACAGAAATGGTATTTTTATTAGTTCTAATTTTATTTTATTTTATTTTTATTTAGTTCTAATTTTAAAAAAAGTTCTATAAGGTAGTTCTTTTTTTTACATTAACATTTGGACTTAGAAGAAAACACACCCTTAACCCACGCCAAGCCAAGAAATATTTCGAAAATTGGCCTTACTACACATTTCTTTTGGATACTGATTATTTCATAGATTTTTATTTGTATTTTGTTTTTCGTGTCCTCTTTGCTATTTTAGAATTAGAATCATGAAGATTCTGTTATAATGACTTGGGAAAACACAGGTTTGGGCTTAAGATAAAAAGTGAATATAAAAGTAGTAGGCAAATAAGAACAGTATCTTCACCTCAAAACAGAAGAGACCAACCAGGATTCTAGACTTCCCAAGTTCATTAAACCAAGTAAACCTAATATTTTCAATATTAGGCTCTAAAAATGATATATCTGACTACAGAATATAATAATTTCCCTAGAGATACTAACTCTAATGGTAATGTGCCCCACCTTTTGGTATGCATAGCTATAAACATGTGTCAGTGGTTCTTTGGAAAGGGAAAAAAGAAATGCGTCTTGGGAAAAAAATGGAAGAGCTCAGCAAAACAACAATTCAGAAGGGTTAAGGCTGAGACTTAACCTTTTATTAAGAAACTATTTTTC